TATATTTATAAGCATTATTGTATTAATGTCACATTAATTATCTTTAATAGATACTAGTGTGGATTCCGATACTGAAGGAGAGGAAGAGGAGGAGGATAATTTATTAGCTGGGACTGGTCGTCTGTTAGCTGGGCGTGTGTCCCGGTTACCAGGAGAAACCATTGACATCAAACCAATGGGACAAGCCAATAAGGAGAAACCAGCCCAAGTGAGGCTTAGAATTTACCAACTTACAGTAGGCTATACAGGGGTGAATTTTTAGCAAATTTTTAAAGTTTATGGTGATTGGTGTGTTTTAATTTAGCAAATTTTTGGTCATTGTATTTAACATGTCCAAGTCAGTGGTTACAAATGCTATTGACATGCCATACCAAATAGTGCTTTAATTTTAATTTTTTTTTAACTTATAAAATTTAAAGTCAGAATCAGTATAAATTTTCAACATGCTCCTTCCTCTTCCATTTTCTTAATTTCTTTGTTTGCCTTTCCAGCTACTGTCTTAGGACTTAACTGAACTGATGAATAATGGTTTTCCTCGTGTCCTTTCTCCAGCCTATTAATATTCGACTATAACTGAAGAGTAGATATAGGAGATGACACACGACCAATTTTTAGTAGTTTTAGCTTCTCTGAGTAATTCATCAGTCAACACATTTAGAAAATCCAGTGATTTTGGAGCTGCACAATACTGAGCTCACAGGCTTAAACTACTTTGCTCACTAATTAAAAGTAGTTTCATATTGAAATAAATCAAAAATATTGTTTCACAGTCAAAATCAATAATTATTATAAATCTTAAAAAGTTATCAATTATTCCTGAATATACTTCTAAAAGTAGTCCATATTGCTGTTAAAGGGTTACTTGCTATTTCTATAGTATCATAAATAAAATGATTAATACTGGAAGAATACTTACCAGGAACAAAATGGTACAATAAATATAACACCAATGCAATCAATACAAACCACAAAAGATGCAATAAATTCCCTATAAAATAATTAATTTATAAGATGACTATGTATATGCAGCTGCTCTCGTTAAACTATTTATTAATAAGAATTAGTATTATTATGCAGTAATGCCATTATGTGATAATACAAAATTCACTTTTACTCACCCACTGTTTCTGGAATATAATCTGGGAAGCAATATGCTATAAAGAGAATGATAACTATCAC